CACACAGGACAGAATACTGTTTGTGAAAACCAGGAAATGTTTCTCACAAGGGAAATTGTGACAAATATGTCAATGCCACTGAGTTCCACTGATCTGCAGCCCTGGGGTAGACACTGGGAATTGTGAGGGGTCCCTTCAGTTACCAGTGGTTCTCCTAAGAGATTTGAGAAATGTGATTACAGTTTATTAAATGTGATGTAGTGCACTGCACAGGCTTAGTAATGCCTCGTCAAGTGAAAACTTTAAAAAAAAATTATCAATCCTTGTCAGGTTTTCACACATTCTTAAATCTAAGCCTCTTGTCTATAGATGAATAAGCAGATATTCTTGGTAGGGAAACCAGTGCTAGTATGTATGAACAGGGCTGGTTCCTCTCCTTTCCTTGCCCTTTCTGCATTTTCTGAGTAGAGTTTGGCACACCAAATCTGAATGACCCCTCTCTCCCCTTTACCACCAGGGGAGGGTCCCTTACCTTATATTTGTTTAAGGTGAAGGCAAAATAAAAATTGTGATAAAAGATTTATGGGGCAGATTTGTAGAAACTGCTGACTCCCAGCTTCTAGTCAATTGTCCAGAGGCGCTACACTTGTGCTAAATATTTGCCAAAATAAAAATGATTACTGAATTTCAAAGGCATAAACATTTTATAGATATAATTATCTGAGTCACTGACTGCAATGAAAATTCTCTGATTGTAATGAGAATCAATGATGCGGATAAATGAAGGGTTCAACACCTAGCTAAGCAGACCCTGGGTGAGCGGGTGGGAGATGTTGAGAGATGGCTGCAGAATCAGGTGAACAGGAGAACGTGTCCATGCGTGACAAAGTGTCCGCAAAAGCGTTAACTATCAGTAAGTGAATAAACATGAGCCTAAGACCATCGTTTGAGTAATAATGAATTCACTGAACATTTAAAAGACACTCCAGATGCTTCTTTTGAATAAAATAATGGGAAGGAAGAAATAGGAGATTCAGTTGTATCAGGATAGTACCTCTTTGGTTTTTCTTAAAGACTCTATTGTTACTCACTTGCTAATGAAGTCATTGAATTCTGCTGACCACAGCTCAGGCTGCCTTAGTTTGGGGGGTGGATTCCTAGAAAAATCAGAACCAATGTTGGACTGTGTACATTGCTCAGTCAGTGCAGAGCGAGAGGCAGCGCCCGACAGACTAATGCACACTGCAATCTCACGGTCTGCCAGTCATCATCAAGGGTTGCCATCACTTTCTAATTTCAAGCCAGATAATCAGTTATTAATCATTCCTGATATAAAATGACAGGTTCCTTGTTTCTCTGAAAGCATCTAACATATGACCCCATTTTTCTAACTGTTAATTTTTTTCTTTTAAAGAATCTTCTCGTTTTTACCTGAGGGCCCTAAGAGAAAGCATTGACAGTTAGCAGAATAGAATCAATGAATCCTGGGGGAAAGATTTCTTTCTATGAGCCCCGCAGAAGTCTCTGAAAAATATCCAGGGAAGACAGCGGTGACCTGTTTGGAATAGGGAGGAACTACAGCCAAGAGGGGCACCGGAGAATGCCTTTATGAGTTGTTCTTTTGTTACTGGATACATGGCAGGAAACAAGTATTATGAAGTGTAACAAAAGTAAGGAACTGAAAAATGTTATCAGGCATAAAGCTCTGAATGCCACTTAAAAATTTTGTTATTAATTCCTTTCATTTTAAGCTGAACAAATCTTTTCTCTTTTGGCACATTCGTTGAATACAAAGGAACATCACTTGAAAATGAGGCTGATCTAACTCTGTAATCAAGCAACATTGATCAACCATGATAGTCGAATTTGCTGAAGTGCTGCTTTATGTTAATTCTAACAGCTCTTTGTTTTCATTAGCGGAATGGAAATACTTTGTCTTCAGTTCTGCATTACTCCTTAAATAGCTTATAATGAAATTAATGTACAGTTTGTACAGGCTCATTGAAGAAAAGTGCAGCTACTCATCTACCCCAGATCACGCCTAAGCACAATTTCACAATCCTTAGGACTACTTGAAGACTGCTGATTTGCACATTTAATGAAGAAATTCTTCTCTCCAAAAATCTCGTTTTGTTTCTTGTCCTCCTGAAAATGTCCTTGTATGAGATTTACTGGCTTGCTTTAAGTAAAACAAAGTCTTGATGATGTCAGAACACTCAGAACCGGGTAGCTTTTCAGATCTCCTTTTTGTACCTATTTCTATGGTCAGTATTCTCAGAATTCCATTTTTAGAGATATACTGGTGGTAGAAATAATTAGAAATAACTAAGATGACACAGTTTCCAGATTTACTATGCACATTGCATATTACCTAGTTACAATTCATATCAAAGGTTTCATCCTTCCTTCATGTGGCATCATTACCAAGAGTAATAACATCAGGCTAATAAATATGGTGGTTTAAACCACAATTAAAATTGTTCAGAAAGTATAGCACTTCATCTTACATACTGAATGACAATAACAGTTTAAAAATACAAATAGTTTCTGTTTTCCTTAAATTTAATGAGACGTCTTCAAGTTGGTATAGAGAAGATCTTCCTTTCTTTTCCGTAACCCTGTTTCTCCACTTACCAAATAAGCAGTATGGAAAGGATGGTATATATCTAAGACATTACAATTTGGAACATATAGGTAGGATAGAGCACTCAAAGGTAAAATTAAAAGCAAATTCAAATGCTTTGGTCTTATAATAATTTAATTACACGCCGAATATTCCAAATGAATCCATCTGGAAATGAATGTACCACATTGGCATTATTTCGTTAGGACCAGCACATTCTCTCCAGGGCTTTGTTCATATGATTCTGTGCTTTATAAGTATTGGAACCATAAAATTTGTCCATTGGAGAGTATGGTAACAAAC